GACCAGGGACTTCGGGGAGAGTGAGGATGTTGGGGTGCTGTAGGCGCCAACTATGAGAGGGGGCTCACCTTCTGCAGCTCTTCATAACTCAGCAGCAGGACGTTCTCCCTGTGTCTCATGGACATCCAGCCACGAATGTGCTCAAACCATGATCCATAGRGCACTGTGGGGCAGGCACAGGGGTGCAGGTTACACACTGCCAAAACAGGGCTGCAGCATCCATATCACTCTACACACACTGACAGCTTGATTCACATATTATTGATCAATGCTGCTCAAACTAGGTAATGAAATAGAGAGGGGGATCTTTCCTGAATTCATTCTATGAAACTAGTCACATACTGATACCCAACTGGGAAACACAGATCAAGTAAGAAAACAATAAACCAATATATCTGCTGAACACAGATACAGAACAGCTTATTAAAATTTAAGTCAATCCTCTTCAGCATTAAGATTATACTCAGGACCTGATGTGTTCACACTTTAAGACTGTACATCACGAGATGTTGATTTCAATCCAAGGATGTAAGATTGGGTGACATAGGGAAATCCATAAATGTTCACCACATCAATAGAGTTTACCTTGACAGAGGAACTTGGCTGAGCATCATGAGGGCTGTATGTGACAAACCCCAAGCCAACATCATGCTAATCAAGGAAAATCTGGATGCATCTCTCCTAACATCAGGAACAAGGCAAGGATGTCCACTTTCACCACTGCTTTTCAATAGAGCTCTAGAGACTCGAGCCAGAGATGTTGGCAGAGAAGGGAATCAAAACCTCACCAGTGGGAAAGAAAGAAACTGTGTTATCTCTGTTTGCAGGTGATAGGAGGCTCTGCTGTGAACACACAAGAATGTTTCCCCCAAAACTCCTAGAACTGATCATTGAGGAAAATAGCAACATACAAAATCAACATGCAAAAAAAGAAGCACTGTTCTTCATCACGAGAATGGATCTGCTGAGGAAGAATTCAAGAATGCAATTCCTTTCACAAAGGTTTCAACAAATACCCAGGTAGAGGAATGTGATGGTGGAAACCTGTATCCCAGATACTTAGGAGGCTGAGGCAGGAGGATCAAGAGTTCAAAGCCAGCCTTAGCAACTTAGGGAGGCCCTCTCTCTAGATAAATTATGAAAAGGGGTTGGGGATGTGGCTCAGTCATAGAGCACTTGACTAGCACCTGCAGAGCCCCAGGTCTAATCCCCAGTGCCATAGAATAATAATAATAATGCTTTATCATGTTTTAAAGTCTATTCATTCTCAAGTCATACTGAAGAGGTATAGTAACAAAAAAGTGTGCTAATATCAAAACATTCCCTTAGATCAGTAGATTAGAAAAGAAGACTCAGAGACAGACCCACACAGATGGAGTTACATGATTCTTAAGAAAGGCAGAAAAAGCAAATGTTGGAGAAAACAAAGCCTATTTAATAAATGGTGCTTGGAAAACTGAATATCTACAGGTAGAAGAATGAAGCTAAATTCTGCAGAAAAATCAACTCCGAGTGGATAAAAACACAGGAATTAGTCCATAAACACTGTAAGTACTATTGGAAATCATAGTGCCTATCCTCTGACCTGTAGGTCAAGCCTTACTTCTATAAGACTCCTAGTATTCAGGAAAGAAAACCAAGAGTTGATAAATGGAAAGGCTCAAGTTGAAAAGCTTCCACACAATGAGAAGATGACACAGAGAGAGGGGTCTCACAGAAGGAAGCAAAACTTTTCCAGCTAATTTTCTGACTAAAGATTAACATCCAGAACATAAAAAGAACTCAAAAATAATGTTATTATTATTATTATTATTATTTATTTCTTATACTTAGTTATACATATACTAGAATGCATTTTGATTCATTGTACACAAACGGAACACAACTTTTTATTTCTCTGGTGTGCATCATGTAGAGTCCCATCATATCTGCACTCCCACATGGACTTAGGGTGATGATGTCCATCTCATTCCACCGTCTTTCCTGCTCCCATGTCTCTTCCTCCGCTTTGCCCAATCAAACTTCCTCTATTCTTCCCTTGACCACCCCTTTTGGTTCAGGGTCCACTTGTCACAGCGAACATTTGGCCTTTCTTTTTTTAGGATTGGCTTTCTTTGCATAGCATGATATTCTAAACCTCCATCCATTTACCTGCAAATGTGATGATTTTATTCTCTCTTAATGCTGAGTAATAGTCCATTGTGTATAAGTGCCACAGCTTTTTATCCATTCATCTATTGAAAAGCATCTAGATTGCTTCCAAGTTTAGCTATTGTGAATTCAGCTGGTATAAATATTGACGTGGCTGTGTCACTATAGTCTGCTGATTTTAAGTCCTTTGGCTACAGACCAAGGAGTGTAATAGCTGGGTCTAATGTGGTTCCATTCCAAGTTTTCTAAGGAATCTCCATACTGCTTTCCAGAGTGGTTGCACCAATTTGCAGTGCTACCACCAATGTATGAGTGTGCCTTTTCCCCTTACCACATCCTACCACACTTCTTGTTGCTTGTATTTTTGAAAATTGCCATTATGACTGGAGTGAGATGAAATCTTAGAGTAGTTTTGATTTGCATTTCTCTACTTACTGKAGATGTTGAACATTTTTTCATGTATTTGTTGATTGATTTTATATCTTCTTCAGAGAAGCGCCTGTTTACTTCCTTAGCCCATTTATTCATTGGGATAAGTTCAAAAATCTTAACACCAAAAACCAAATAAGCAAACCAACAGATGGGCAAATCATAATAATTTCTCAAAAGAAGAAATACAATGGCCAACGATATTATGAAAAAAAATTCAATGTCTTTAACAACCAGAGAAAAACAAATAGAAACTACATGGAGATCCTGTCTCACTCCAGTTACAATGGCAATCATCAAGAACACAAATAGTAATAAACACTGGTAGGGATTGAGTGAAAAGGAGCACTTACACACTATTGGGATTGGAGACTAGTACAACACCATGGAAATCAGTCTGAAGTTTCCTCAAAAGACTAGGAATGGAGCCAGCATGTGCCCTAATCATAGAGCTCCTTGGATCCATCAAAACAAAGTCAGCACACTATAGCAACACATGCCCCCCAGGTGGATAGCAGTTCAACTCCCMGCAGCTGAGCTCTGGGACAGCCTTGGTGTCCACTGATGAATGGATACAGAGAATGTGGTTCATACACATAATGGATATCACTCAGTCATAAAGAAGAACTAAATTATGTCACTTTGAGGAAAATGGATGGAACTGGAGACCAGCATGCTGATTGAAACAAGCCAGACTCACAGAATCAAGGGTTGTCTGCTTTCTCTCATATGTGGAAAATACACAGAAGAAGAATAAAAAAGATATACTAAAAAACAAGAGAAAGACCAGCAGAATAGAGGACACAGACCTATATGTGAAGAACACTCACCATTTGCTTGCATCCACCATTGAAAATACTGTTCCAGTGACTCTGGTTGCTTACATAGTTTCATCATAGACTGATGATAATAACCTGACACAAGAACATCTTTGGGATTTCTCATGAYATATATCACCTTAAATTAGGGAAAATGAGAAAATGAAAAATCAGTCTCAGTCAGTCATTTCCCACCTTGATCTTGATCTTTCCCTGGGCAGTTCTTCCCTAATCTTTATTAAACCTGTGGGTTCCTTTAATAAATTAGTTATAGCGTTCATTCACCAAATACACATCTTAAAGTTCCTATTACATGGTCATATGCCAGGAGGAGAGGAGGAAGACCTTGGCTCTTCTTTCTGGGATACTTGTCTACTCTTCCTGGGAAGCTGCTGGAAAGTGTTAAATGGTAAGTGGTGAGGGGTGTGTGTGCTTTCCCACATGATCACTAACAGCACACTGGATTAATAAATTATGGAATATTCAGATTCATTGCACATACAGCATTCTTCCACTCAAGACCATCGACAAGTCTCACATGTATGACGTCCAGACAGCATGCATGCATTATAGAAAATTCAGGAATAAGCAAAAGTAATCTGTGGCTGTAAGTCTAGGGAGTATTGCCCTCAGGTGGTGGGCACTGGTGGTAGACGGGTACTGGTGACACATTCTGGATTATAGGAAGGTTGTACATCTGGCACTGACCTTGGCTTTGGAAGCAAATAAAGACTTGGGGAAGAGATGGAAAGGGAGGTGAGAGGACATGATTCGTGGGCCTTCTCTCTCATTTAAACGTTTGTAACCCCCCTCTGTCTCTATCCAGGGTGAGCGTTCCCAGGTGGGCACAGATCGAATCCACTTGGTATCACCATGGGAGTGAATCAGGGAGAGAATTTCAATCAACCAGTTGGTTCCTAGATAAAAAAGGAAAATTGACGGTCACTCACTTCATCCTGGCTTGTGAACAAAACTTATGATAAAATACATAACATGCACTTTACCATCTGCCCATTTTAAGCATGCCATGGGGTGGTGCTGAGCAGWGTTCAGCATGTTCCTGCTGTTGCTCAGCCGATGTCCAGAAGCTTTTTGTCTTAAAAAACTGAAACTCTCTGCTCCTTAACAACATTTTCCTACTAATTCCATCTTTGAGGCCCTGGAACCCACCATGGGGCTCTGTTTCTGTGAACTTGACTACACTTTGCCCCATGGATTCCTATACTATTTGTCCTTTTGTGCTTATCAGACTGCACTTAGCATGAGGCCCAGTATTGACTATATTGTAGAAGGAGGCAGCCTGTCGTCCTGGTTAAGGCTGAATCTTACTCCATTGTATCAACTCCCCACGTTTTGTTTACGCATTAAACTACCAGTGGATTTTTGGATGCTTCCAGCCCTTGGCTCTTGGCTGAGAGCCTTCTAATATGTCCCAACGTCCCTTGACTTTCCAACCTCATGTCCCTTCAAAGGCCATTGGCCCCAATCCTCGCCCAGTTTGCAGTGCTCCTGCCCCCAGCCCCTCTCCTGTAGGTGCATGACACCTGTCCTTTCAGTCCCTTGAATTTTCCAGGCTCTTTCTGATTCCCAGGCTCTGTCCATGCTGCCCCTCCTGCTCTACAGTATCCCTCCACCACATGACCTCCATTCCAACTTTTCATTCCTGTTGAGCTGGTATTTCACCAGTAGATCTTCACAGGTCACCCTCTTCCACCCCCTTCTCCTGTGCCACCACACAAATGCCCAAATCTGCTTACGATTCACTCCTATATCTCCCTCTCAAACCTCAGATGACCCCTTCTGACAACTTATGTCACTCTGTCCTAGTCTGGATGCAAGAGGCCTGGGGCACTGTCCCTTATCCCCAAAGCAGGGCTCACTGGCATGGAGAGGTCAGGCCCTCCATCTGCTGAGTAAGGGAGGAATGCAGCCACCGCATTTCCCATTGATGGTCCCTGTCCTGTTTCCTTACCTGATTTGGGGTAGGTCACCAATACTGTGTCTTCATCCTTTATCACAAACTGAGCACATGCTTCTTTCAAAACTTCATAGCTGTAACCAAGCACAGGGAAAGGTATCCCTTCAAACCACAAGTAGCCGTCTGTCATGGTGATGAGCTCTCTGTGCCAGGTGCAGGGGTTCCTGCTGTAGCCACCACTGGATGTTGGGGGATGTACTGGGAGAATGGACTTTGAAGTAAAGTCAAAAGAATCATTAACTTTTCTGGTTGTCAAATTAACTGAGTGATAAACCAAAATTGTGACTGGTGATCAAAGTTTCTTTGCATTGAACAATTTTGGACTCATTCAGGGAACGACAGGATCAAGATCTGAGCATGAGTTCATGGCCAGGACCGCATAGCAAATGCTGCAAAATAACCCCACTGAGGAATCCATGGGACCTGAAGAAAGTGATTTTTTTTTGTTTATTTGTGTTTTGAAGAGATTTCCAAAGAGAAATTTCACATGAAATCAATAGATACAGTGTAAAAATAATAGCTGGAAGTATTTTTTGGATTGTGGCCTAAAGAATCTAAAGGACAAGAGCCTGCTCAGAGTCAGCAGACAGAGCAGTGGAGTATCACTCCACTCCAGGGTCCACTCCTCCCTTTCCTCCTGATTAACATGTGGGAGTGGGTTGCATGGTGTCAGGATTTAGGGACTGAGATGAGAGAATCTTCATATCTACCACATCAAAGATCCATGGAAGCTCTGTTTCTTACTTGGTCGAGAACTGTCCGTGCCCAAGGGACTCAGGGACCAACAGCTCCACATGTTCAAGCAACACGCCCATCCATTGGGCCCATACACTCTACCCACATTGACAGCTTGATTCATGTATCATTGATAAATGCTGCTCAAACTAGGTAGTGAAATAGGGAGGGGGATCTTTCCTGAATTCATTTTATGAAACCAGTCGAATACTGATACTCAACTGGGAAACACAGATCAAGTAAGAAAACAATAAAACAATATATCTGCTGAACACAGATACAGAACAGCTTATTAAAATTTAAGTAAATCTGTACAGCATTAAGATTATACTCAGGACCTGATGTGTTCACACTTTAAGACTGTACATCACGAGATGCTGATTTCAATCCAAGGATGTAAGATTGGGTGACATAGGGAAATCCGTAAATGTTCACCACATCAATAGAGTTTACCTTGACAGAAGAACTTGGCTGAGCATCATGAGGGCTGTGTGTGACAAACCCCAAGCCAACATCATGCTAATCGGGGAAAAACGGGAAGCATCTCTCCTAACATCAGGAACAAGGCAAGAATGTCCACTTTCACCACTGCCTTTCAATAGAGCTCTAGAGACTCGAGCCAGAGATGTTGGCAAAGATGAGAATCACAACCTCACCAGTGGGAAAGAAAGAAGCTGCATGGTCACTGTTTGCAGGTGATAGGAGGCTCTGCTGTGAACACCCAAGACCATTCCCCCAAAACTCCTAGAACTGATCATTGAGGAAAATAGCCACATACAAAATCAACATGAAAAAAACAAGCATTTTTCTTCATCACAACAATGAATCTGCTGAGGAAGAATTCACGAATACAATTCCTTTCACAAAGATTTCTACAAATCCCCAGGTAGAGGAATGTGATGGTCCAAACCTGTATCCCAGATACTCAGGAGGCTGAAGCAGACGGATTGAGAGTTCAAAGCCAGCCTCAGCAACTTAGGGAGGCCCTCTCTCAAGATAAAGTATGAAAAGGGGCTGGGGATGTGGCTCAGTCGTAGAGCACTTGACTAGCAACTGCAGAGCCCTGGGTCTAAACCCCACTTCCTAATAATAATAATAATAATAATAATAATACTGCTGAAGCTATGATGTTTTAAAATAAATCCAGTCTTAAATCATACTGAAGAGGTATAGTAACAAAAAAGTGCGCTAATATCAAAACATTCACTGAGAGATCAGTGGATTAGAAGAGAAGACTCAGAGACAGATCCACACAGATGGAGTCAAATGATCCTCAAGAAAGGCAACAAAAGCAAATGTTTGAGAAAACAAAGTCAATTTAATAAATTGTGCTTGGAAAACAGAATAAATATGGTTTGAAGAATGAAGGTAGATCCAAAAAAAATTCACTCCAAGTGGCTCAAAAAAAAAAAAAAAAGAATTCGACCATAAACACTGTAACTACTAGTGGAAATCATAGTGCCTATCCTCTGACCTGTAGGTGCAAGCATTACTTCTATAAGACTCCTAGTGTTCAGGAAAAAAAAAAACAAGAATTGATAAATGGAGAGGCTCAAGTTGAAAAGCTTCCACAATGCAGGACCAATGTGTTTCTGCAACCTGTATACTCAGAAAAATGAGAAGCCATATCCCATCTGATGTAAATGTATGACATATCAGATTATTGTACTGTCATGATTTTTTTTAAAAAAAGATTCCATACAGCAAAGGAGACAAGACAGAGAGAGAGGGCTCACAAAAGGGAGCAAAACCTTTTCCAGCTAATTTCTGAGAAAACATTTACATCCAGAACTGAAAAAGAACTCAAAAATAAGTTTGTTATTATTATTTCTTTCTTCTAATTAGTTATACATACAGCAGAATGCATTTTGATTCATTGTACACAAACGGAACACAACTTTTCATTTCCCTGGTTTTCATGATGTGGAGTCCCACCATATCTGCACTCACACATGGACCTAGGGTAATGATGTCCATCTCATTCCACCGTCTTTCCTGCCCCCATGTCTCCTCCCCAACTTTGCCCAATCAAAGTTCCTCTCTTCTTCCCTTGACCACTGCCCTTGTCCCTTTTGGTTCAGCGTCTACTTACCAGAGAGAACATTTGGACTTTCCTTTTTAGGATTTCCTTTCTTTGCATAGCATGATATTCTAAACCTCCATCCATTTACCTGCAAATGCTATGATCTTATTCTCTCTTAATGCTGAGTAATAGTCCATTGTGTATAAGTGCCACAGCTTCTTTATCCATTCATCTATTGAAGGGCATCTAGGTTGCTTCCATGTTTAGCTATTGTGAATTGAGCTGGTATACATACTGAAGTGGCTGTGTCACTATTGTCTGCTGATTTTAAGTCCTTTGGGTAAAGACCAAGGAGTGGGATAGCTGGGTCAAATGTGGTTCCATTCCAAGTTTTCTAAGGAATCTCCATACTGCTTTCCAGAGTGGTTGCACCAAGTTGCAGTCCTACCAGCAATGTATGAGTGTGCCTTTTCCCCTTACCACATCCTTAGCACACTTCTTGTTGCTTGTATTTTTGAAAATTGCCACTATGACTGAAGTGAGATGAAATCTTCTTAGATTTAATTTGCATTTCTCTGTTACTGGAGATGTTGAACATTTTTTTCATGTATGTGTTGATTGATTGTGTATCTTCTTCTGACAAGTACTTCTTCAGTTTCTTAGCCCATTTATTGATTGGGATAAGACTAGAAATCTTAACACCAAAAACCAAATAACCAAATCAACAGATGGGAAATCACAATCATTTCTCAAAAGAAGAAATATAATGGACAACAATTTTATGAAAAAAATTTCAACATCTTTAACAACCAGAGAAAAGCAAATAGAAACTACACGGAGATCCTGACTCACTCCAGTTACAATGGCAATCAGTAAGAACACAAATAGGAATTACCACTGGTAAGGATTGAGTGAAAAGGAGCACTTACACACTGTTGGGATTGGAGACTAGTTCAACACCATGGAAATCAGTCTGAAGTTTCGTCAAAAGACTAGGAATGGAGCCAGCATGTGCCCTAATCATAGAGCTCCTTGGATCCATCAAAACAAAGTCAGCACATTATAGCAACACATGCCCC